ATATACATGCGTCAACCTATTCGATTCATCAAATATGGAGAAGAAAACTTGGTTTGTCATCTAAAAAGGTCTCTCTATGGACTTAAGCGAAGTCTCCAAGACAATGGAACAAACGCTTTGATGCCTTCATAACTTTTAAAGGCTTTGTGAAAAACTCATTTGACTGCTGTGTATATAAGAAAACAATTAGAAAAGATGTTTATATTGTACTACTGTCATATGTGGATGACATTTTGATATCCTCTCAAGACAAGTAGCAGATTGAAAAACTAAAAGGAGAGTTGGGAAATGAATTTGAAATGAAGGATTTGGGTAATGCCAAAAAGATTTTGGGGATGACATTGTATAGAGATTGCTAGAGACATTTCTTACATATTTCACGGAGAGATGACTTAAACAAAATTGTGAAGAAATTTCACATGGAAAATGCAAAGTCAGTGAAGACACCCTTAGCCCAACATTTTAGACTATCTTCCTCTCAATCTCCTTTAACAGTTGAACAACTAAATGAGATGAAATCTGTACCGTATGCAAGCTTAGTGGGAAGTCTAATGTATGGTATGATTTGCAGTAGACCGGAATTAGCTCATTCCATGAGCGTCATAAGCAGATTTATGAGCAATCCTGGAAAGACACATTGGGAAGCCTCTAAATGGGTTCTCACATATATTAAGGGAACTCAAAATAAAGGTTTGATTTACACTAAATGTGATGAGTTCTCATAAAACATTGTGGGATATGTTGATTCTGATTATGCAGCAGATTTGGACCGAAGAAGATCACTGACAAGTTATGTTTTCACATTATTTGGGAATCTGATGAGTTGGAGATCTGACTCATTCCATACTAGAAATAATCGCAGGAAATCCTTTGATAAYACGGATTCCTATTTCTCAATGATATCCCACGATCAAGACAATTGGCTAAATCCCGTGAAACCATTTCATAGAAGTTCATTGATATCTTCTTTTTATAAAGCAACTCGACTTCGATTCTTGAATAATCCACATCACTTCTGCTTCTATTGTAACAAAAGATTCCCTTTTTATGTGATTATGTGGAAAAGGCCGAGTTTACAATGTGTTGTATCATTATCATCAACTGAGGCAGAATATATTGTTCTTTCAGAATTTGTCAAAGAGGGAATTTGGCTAAAAGGCCTAATTTCTGAGATGTATGCTGGTAGCGATGAAGTAAAAATCTTTTGTGACAGCCAAAGTGTTCTTGCACTATCGAAAAATCAAACTTTCCATGACAGAACTAAACATATAGATGTGAAGTTCCATTTTATCAGAGATGTTGTCAATGAAAATAAATTGAGTTTGTCCAAGATAAACACTGCTCATAACCCAGCTGATATGTTAACAAAATCGCTTCCAAGTGACAGATTAGAATACTTGTGCAATCTTCTAAAGCTTGGCATCGGTTAACTCATACAAAATTAGTGATCAGAGATTGACATCTTTTAAAGCTCCAGGGAATATGTTTCTTCAAGTGAGTGATTTGTTAATTTTTTTTTTCCATGGTGACTCACATATTACCTCACTAAAAGGAGGTCCGATTAACCACCCCATTCAAATATTTTGTAACTGGCTTTTGTGAGTTACCCAATATTTTTATCAGCAAGCTCTCTCTAAAAGAATTAGTGATGGTAACTTTTTGATTTTGATCTTGGAATAAAATACTCTCTCTGATCTTGTACAATGGACGTAGACCTCTCTTGGTCGAACCACTTCAAATTTGTGTGTTGTTCTTCTTAATTTCTATTTTGATGGAAAGTGAGATATGGGTAGATTATATTCCCAAAAGAAAAAAAAAATAATTCACACCCTAAAACAGTTGGAATTTACTATCTGGATAAAAAAAAAAAACAAAGACGGAATGTAAAACTACAAGCATCAAAATAAACATTTAAAAAATATTGAAAAACACATAAATTGAAATAGTATTTAAACAAAAAAAACAATAAATATAACGGCACACTTTTTAACGGTACATTGGGTTTGAACTTGCAAGTCCAGCGACGTCCATATGTAACAAAAATCAACGGTCTTTAAATATATATTAATTTAATAAATAATAAATATCTATATATAATTAGCAATCATGCATGCAAATTTAGCAATCGCTTTACGACATGTCGACCTCCGTCCCCACCAATCAATTCTTTCATGATGTCTTTTCTTTTCCTTCATCTGCCATATTTCTATTATTGTCTTTATTTCATTTTTAAATATATAATAAATATAATTATGCCTCAAACATTCATCCTTTTTTTTTTTCATCTTAAATTTCTCTGCTTTTATTTCTAAACTTTTAAATATTTAACCGCACTTTCGGTTCAAAATTTTGTCTTAAGTTTGTAAAAAAAAAATGGTCTGGATTGAATTTGTTACCAAGATTTGTTATTTGAGTAACATTGAATTTGAAAATTTGTAATAAAAATTTAGATAGTTTATACCTTAATCATTTATATATAAAATTACTTTTTCTTTTACATCAACACAATAAAATTACACATTAAGGTAGGATTAAAAATATAATAATATTTTCTATAATAATATTAGTAACTAATATTTTTAATACTCTAGTGGACCTAAGTTTTTTTTTAATAATCATTTATTGTATAATAAGTATTTGATTATATTTGTAATTTTTAAAATTTTACTAAAGCATGAATAAAATGTATAGAAATTTTATGCTCTCTCACATGAAATTTATGGTAAGTATAAGTGATTTGGGTTGAGTCGTGTTTTTTCTTTTTTTTTTGGTTAAAATTGACATGTCGATTTAAAAATTTTGTAGGTGTGCCTATAATATATTATAAACTAATTCTTAATTTTTAATTTTATCCATTTTAATCCATGCTAAAAAAAGTGGTGTAACTATATAAAATTAAGGTAGTTAACGTAGAATCGTATTAGAGATTAAAATTGAAAGTTGAAAGATGAAATTTATAATTTGACATATTTTATGGTGTGGTTGTATTCTCTTATATAAATCCAATAACTTATGTTTCGCTTGGTCTAAAGGGAAATAAGGCTGCCTATGAGCTTGTTCGATTAGTGTTTATATTGTTTATGATTTGAAGACTTTCTTTTTTAATGATTGTCCACTTACTAACTGTATTTATATTTATTTATTTTTCTTTTTCAAGGAAACAGTAAAAAGAACTAAAACAAAGAGCCAAGACATTCCAGGGCAAGAAAACTTGACAACTTCGAAGGCTAGTCCTCAAACTAGATGTTGTGCTCATGATGCAAAATCCCTCTCCTTTGCAAGATGGTGGGCGACTCTATTTCGTTCTCTCTTCGTGAATCTAACTAAAAGCTTACCTCTATTAGATAAGATAAGAACATTTTCAGATAGATCATTGATTTCCTAATTGAATATTCGCTTTGAATTTACTTCAAGATGGATCGGGTGGATTCCAACCTCAATCGCCAACTTCAAACCTTCCCACACGAAGCGACATCAATAGACGAAGCGTGTTCCAGGAATTTCGTTGCAACAGCTAGAATTTGACCTTTGTCAGATTTTGGATGATAATCCCTTGTCCCAAGGGAATGGGTTGCATCAATATTGAGTTTGTAAATCCCTTCATCTGGAGGACTCCACCTAACACGATTAGGTTGGAAGATTTTACTTTTGTTCATCTGAAAGCTATGATATAATTAGAAACCCAACTGGCAAAATCTGGCTTAGTGTCATAGCTTCTCTTGTTAAAAACCTTCGCAAATTCCAATTGCACAAACTCCCCAAAATCAGCTCAACTTAGCTTATCTTGCTAGCCTCAAAAGTAAAAGCATGTTGTTGGGGGTCAAACGCGCACGGTCGACCTGGACGCGACCGAGACCCGAGGAGCCGATCTGGTTGGTCGACTTTGGCAGTTTGGGCAAGTAAAAGCGGCCGCATAACCTCATCCTTCGGAGCGGGGATCAGACCGGTCACTGCCAAGGACCAGCGGTTATTCAACGAGCCCCTCCCCGAATAGCGGGTTATACCGATGGGACGTATATCTGCCCAACTACCACTATAAATACACACTTCGTCCATGATTTCAGGTATGAAAAATCTGTTTGATGCTTGCCTATTGAGCTTAGCTTGAATACTAATTTGGGCGTCGGAGTGGTCGTCTCTTTGCAGGTACCCCGTAAAACCGCCTATGCTCGAGGCCGACCTCCGAGTTCATCTTCCGTACCTGACCAAATCTTGCATCAACACATGCAATTATGGTTCAAATCAACGGTGATAAGAGCATCATACTCGAATTTTACCCATTTTCTTTTGGAAGCTTTGCATCCCAAAAAATATGGAAGTTGTCCCCTCCCTTACTGTCGAGAGCAAGGTTAGAAAACATCCCCCTCATTTTAGCAAGTTGGTTCCTGTGGAGAGTTTATCTAAGTATAGACGCCAAAAGAACACCTTAATTTTGTCAGTAATATCCATCTTCCAAATCCTCATCATTACTGCAGAGAATCAATAGAAGAGGACGTGTCAGTGAGATTTGGTTGGCCTTGTAGCCACTTTTCACAATATAGACTTCGGTTTTTCTCATTGTGCTAAATCAGTCTATACCCTCTTCCACCCAAACCAATTGGTATAGCCCGGATGTCATTAGCTTCATCGACCGAAAAAGAAAAAAAAAGTATCATACCACGTCCACATTTAAATAACAAGGTAAAAAATTAAAAACTAATTTCAACCAAAATTGAAATCACATTAACCTAATTGAAATATATATGTATATTATATACTATAAGATGTAATCAAAATGATCAAATATTATGATTTCCCAATGATAACAAAAGAGATAAAAGAAAAAGAAAATTAGAGAAAAGAAGAAAAAGAAAAAGAAAAAGCGAGGAACTTCTTATTAAATAAAATAGAAAAATTACATTTTGAAACAAAAAAAACATGATGATGATTATAATAATAATAAATGGAAACCGACAGAGGCAGTGGTGATGGAAGCGTGGTCGTTAGGAAGAAAGAAAATGGAGGAAAGAGCGTGAAATTCACGCGTTTAGAGGAATTGTCAGTTTCGTAACTTGGAAGTTTTAATACCCAAAAGAAGAAGAAATTCAATTCTTGCGATTTAAGCCTCTTTCGCAAATCAGCAGCTAAGCTCCAGTTGAAGTTGAAGCTGAAGGGGCCACAGATTAGGACTCCCACTCAACTCAACTACTGGACCTCAAATCTTCACTTCCCAATCCCCATCCCTCATTTTCTCCCCCATTCATCTTTCCGTCTATGCTCCGCCGTGCTCCGTCGTCCTCGTCGTCGTCGGCGTAAACCCAGGTACCACTTCTCCACATCCTTTCATCAATGTGATTCCAGAATTGAGCATTTGGGTCATCTCTGTCGACGCATCTGAAGACACTGAGAATGTGCTCTTGCTTCGTTTTAGTGGGGGTTTCTGGTGGATTCATGGGGTTTTCACTGATTTTCCAGATCTGGCTGAAGTGGGTTTTCTTAAACGAATCTTTCGCTACTTCTTCTTCTGGGTTGTGTGTGTTTGTTTGATGGGTTTGATTTTTTTTTTTTTTGTTGTCTGATCAATGATTGTATGCGTCTGAGATTCTGTAATGCTAAATTTGACGAGCTGTTCTTCAAGTTTGTGTTTCCTTGTCCAGTTGAACTTAGAGCATTGTGCTTGCTTCTACAGTGTTCAGTTCAGGATCTGCTTCTCTGCTTAGCTGGTTGAAATGAGTGGTGGAGTAGCTGATGATGGGCCTTTAGATTATGCCACGATTCAGATCATACCTTCTGAGAACAGGTTGCTCTTTTTGTTTTCCTTTTCTTTGTGATGAGGTTCTGCTTGCAAAAACATGTTTTCTTTCGTTATTCCATTCCAAGTCCACGGAGGAGATTCGATCAGGAGGTAGGATGGAGGAGGAGGAGAAATAATTTGAGGAGATTGAAGCATTATGAACAGTAGTTTACTGTCTGAGATGATTAATGAGTACCATAGGATCTATTATTGATCAATTACTGTTTGAGAAAACAGCATTAGTTGGAAGCATGGTTCCTTGATATTCTGTGCTTTTGAAATCCAAATTTATAAGACAAAGTAATTCTGCGAGTTGAATATGTTTCTTTTTTTTATGTTTTGAAAGTTGTTTCTCCCCGCTTGCTGTGAATATGTGTATAGGTATGAGGCTTTTGTTTGCTCTGGCAATGAGGTAGATGCACTGGCTGATGGGATTCTGGATGCACTGTTGCCGCATTTACCAGAAGTACGAGAGCTGAATGCCAAAGGATCAAAGGCGAGCTTTAAACTCCAACCGCCACAATCTTCGGCTAGTACATCATGGTTCACAAAATCTACTTTAAGCAGGTTGTTATAATTACATTATTTCAGTTTTCAATTCCTTCAGCTGAGTTGTGCATTTTTGTTAATACTTTTACTTCTCTACTCAGGTTCCTCCATATAGTTGGCTCACCGGAATTAACGAATATCATGAAAACGATGAATGAGATGGCTCAACTAGAAGAAACCAAAAAATTTCATCTATCTTTATATGGCCAGGTAGTAGACCATGCTATTTTTTAAAGTTATTGCTCTCAATGTTTCCTTTCTGATGAAAGTTAATTGAAAACACCATTCTTTCAGGGTCAGAAGTCGAAGATTGAAGAAAAAGGTAATTCTCAAAATTTTATTTAGGATAATGTTTCAATATCTTTACTTAAATTAGTGCTTCGGAATCTTAAACTAACTTCTATGAAGTGCTAATGTTGCTTAGACAATGTATACTTCCACATATTTTGAAGTTTTTCTATCTCCTGTTTTGACAGATGGCTGCAACCTTGACGGATCTAGCCCGAAAGATAGAGTACTAATGTTTCTTTAATTCAGTAGAGCGCTTATTTTATCGTTACTCCTCACTTCAATTATTTCATTTCATTATTTTGTTGAATTCCTCCTCACGTAAACTTTAAATGTGTTGGCAGTCTGGAGGTGAATTTGCTTCATCAGCTGCATCGAAGTAGGTTATTTGAATTCTTAATTATCAGTTCTGTTTCTTTACTAAATATACAATTGGTTGAACAACAATGAACAATGTAAAAATGAATTGCCAGAAACGATCTGTTGCGAGCTATGGAGTTGAGGCTTACAGCATTGAATAGGGACTTAACTGCGGCATTTGATAAGGCTTGTGGTTCAACCTGCAGTTCTAAAGAGATCAGTCATTTAGTGAAGTTTGCGGAACATTTTGGAGCTACAAATTTGAAGTAGGTTATTCAAAGTTTTTCGCTTTCAAGAAGTTGGTAAAATTGTTGCCAGATTGTTGTTATAGAACACGAAAATATTAAGAAACTTCTTTTCTACCATATTTGTTTACTCATTATGCCCTCAATTTTCATCTTCATCTGATCTTTGCAGAAATTGTACATGCAAATATGTGGAACTAAATCAGAAGAACAATACCATCAACCCTGTTGATGATGATAACCACACGGTTAATTCAAATTCGAGCAATGAAAATGCTATTAACATGAATGGGAGTTTTAAAGCCGAAAGATCACATCCATCTACTCCAGTAAAATATGGTGTTTCACCTGCAAAAGTTGCCCAGGTTGAGCGACAGGATTCAACTGAAAGTGAGGATTCTTCCGACTCAGGTAATGAAAATGGGACACCAGTAGAAAGAAGTAGAACAATGGTACGGTCTGCATTATCCAGAAGGTCAGCATCACCCATGAGAAGGGTTCAGATAGGAAGAACGGGGTCCCGCCGGGCGCCCACAATAATGATTAGGAGTTTAAATCATCTGCAAACTAGAGACATGTTTTCTCAAGGAGATGTAGCAGCTAATAGTGATGATGAGGAAGGATCAGAACCTTCCAGTAAAACAGCTGATAACAATATAGGGAGAATATCTGTTCAGGATGCGATCAGTCTTTTTGAAAGCAAACAGAGAAGTGACACTTCCGATGTTCAGAAAATAAGATCGTTAGCAAATATAACCGTTGGTGCAAATAAATTTGTATTGAGAAGATGGAGTACAGGCATGGGAGAGGCTTCTACAAAATGCCAGCCAGGGCTTGTTAGTGATGAATCCGACCCAACCAGTCGTGATTTGGCTGAAGACAAGCCGAAGAGTAAGCTTACAGATGAAGAAGTGGGATGCGATAATATATCTTCGATTGATATGACTTGTACAACTGCTGAAGTTGATGTCAAATTAGAAGATTCAGAAATTAAAGCTTCTGATCCGCAAGAAGCTCAAGCAGATACTCCCATTAGTGAACCACATGAAGTTGTCAAAAAATTATCTGCAAATTCAGAATGGACTCGAAGAAAGGAAGCAGAATTGGATCAAATGCTGAAAAAAGTGATGGAAAGTAAGCGTGTGGCACAGAACAATTCTCAAGCGAATAGAAAGAAAGATGTCAATTCCGACCAGAGGGGGGAATTGTATGACCAATACAAGGCAAAGAGAGATGAAAAACGAAGAGCAGAGGAAGCTAAAGTGCATACAAATAAAGAGGCAAAAATTAAGGGAATGCGACAAGTTGCAGATGATAGGAGATCCAAGATAGCCTCTGCCGAAGTTAATGTAACGAAAAAACGTGCTACACGCAAGCCTGAAGTTCCACAAGCAAACTTGTCAAAATCAGAAAAACCAAAGAAGGAAATATCGAAACCATCCGTGATCGAAAAGATTTCATCTAGAACTAAGCCAATGGCTGCCACACGAAAGTCATGGCCATCTTCTGCATCAGAAAAAACCACTGGGATTTCTCCAGCCAGTACAAATCCAACTCGTCAGAAAACACAACCACTGTCATCCTTCAGTCGATTGAGCACTAAAACAGAAAGATCCCTTGTGCAAAAAAAAAATGTCAAGGAAACTAATGATAGTGGAAGGGACTTGAGGCGTGTGAATGAAAAGAAGGAAACAGTGCAGACAAAGACCGGAAAAATAACGAAAATGAAAGTTACACCTTCTGGAGATACCTCTGTTCATGTGAAGTCCAGTATCCGTGACAAGGTAACGAAAAGAAGCAGCATTGTGCCACTGGAATCAAAGTCCTTTCATAAAGGTTCTAGAAATAGCTTAGATAACAGTAGTCCAGTGGTTAGTAAGACGAAAAATCCAAAACTTTCCAAGTCTGCTGACTCTTCAAAGAACAGCAAAAAATTGGTTCGTGACCAGGAAGTTGAGGTTACAGTTCCCGATCTGGTTGACAGTCAACCTGATAAAGGGGATGCTTTGTCCCCAGCTCTCTGTGATTCCGAAACCGTTGTAATTGAACAACGAGATAGTGAGAAGCAGACTTTAGATGAAGCTGATTCTGATCATGGTGATGATCTACAAAATGTAGTCAAGTCTTCTTTGGAAATTGTAGTTGAAGGAGAATCAGTGATTCCATCAAAGTCCACAGAGGAAATAGAAGAGTTCCAAGAGATACCAGCCAATAGTGATGACACATCTGAACTTGCATCCCTTGAAAATGCTGCACCAAGTGAAAACCCCCGCATTCGTCTCTCTCTGTCCCAGATGCTTCAGGAAGAAAATAGCGAACCTGATAACAACGATTGGGGAATTGCAGAAAATCCTCCCATGATGAACTACCAAAGGGGTGCACCAAAAGGATTTAAGAGACTCCTAAAGTTTGCAAGGAAAAGCAAGGGAGAAGCAAACCTAGCTGGTTGGTCAAGCCCTTCCGTGGTTTCCGAGGGGGAGGATGATTCTGAAGAATCTAAAGCTCTGAACTCGAAAAAGTCGGACAATCTATTGATGAAAGCTACACACAACTCTGGTCTTGTAAAGGCTTCTTTCGATAAAAGCTTTGACCCTGAAAAACTATACTCAGGTATGATTTTCTCCTTCCTTGTCATTGTTGCATTTTAAACTGCCCCAGCATATGATTTTTGATTCAATAACATGATATATGAATGCGGATTCAATAACATGATATATGAATGCAAAGTTACTCACTGCTCGATCCAAAAGTTTAAATTGATAATTCGGTGATATATGTAATCTTTTATATATATTTCCAACCTTCCTCTCCACGTGTGGGCTCGAATATTCATTTGATTCATAGAACTCAATACTTGAACCTCTAATATTGATAAAAAGAAAATGAACATCGGAGAGGTTGGATCACAGGACCTCTTGTTCTGATAGAATAGAGTATCTTTAATCTCTCATATAATATATTTTTAACATGCAACTCGAACATATGTAGGTACATATGGTGCACAAAATTTTAATCCCAAGTTCCAGGAAAGCCATGATCATGCTGCAGTTTCTTCAACTAAAGGTTAGAGACATGTATGATTTGCATTTCCCACCATCTCTGTTCTTTTTTTTCCTTTGGGCACATCTATCAATACTAAGATTTTAACTCTCTTTTTTTCCATTTTCCTTTACTCATGTGGCAGTAGGCAGGTCTTTCTTTTCTCTATCAGCTTTTAGGGGCAGCAAATAGAAAGAATGAGCCAAAAGCTGCATTAATTTTGGAATGACAATGGATTCTCATTTCATTCTCTGCCATCTTCTTCTTCAAGGTGAATATTGTGAAAGAAGTTTCCCTCTCTCTTCATACTACAGAATTTGTATTGTATCTCTCTGAACATAAAGATTGACTAACAGTTAGTATTCTTTTTTCTCTTACTTTGCCTGCCATGGATGTAATAAGATTGATTCATTAGCTTTGTCTAAGCATTTTGATCAAAATTCTTGTGGGCCTACTGAATATAAACACTGAAGCTGACTATTTTGCTGGCAGGGTACCACAGTATCTTGGTAGCTTGATTTTTTGTATTATAATAGCGAAAATGTTCGCAGTTTAAAAAAATTTGTCGAACTTGTTTGGTGAACTGTTGCGAAAATATTGAAACCATTATTGAAACAATTTCTAAAACATTGATGTTATTTGTTGGTAGATTTGAGATTCTTCCTTGGTTGAAAGAATCATTGGTGACTAAACTTGTAAATGTAGTATTTAATAATTATTAATCTTATTAATTGTTATTGAATAATGTTTTAAATTGAAATAACCTGTGGTGATTATTTTACATGCTAATTACTTTGATATGCATTATTAGGATTCTTCTATTGAAGGAGGCTTGCATGTCTCCAAAGTTGCTTCTTGACATTTCTAAGACTAAAACTGTATTAAAAATAAATAAATAAATAAACAAACAATCTAAAGCAACAATAAAGTAATTTTTTAATAATACTTACCAATTACTCGTTAACTAAGAGTTCGTTTGGCAACATCTTCGTTTCTTATTTTTTGGTTCTCGTTTTCAAATTTTAGAAACAAAAAAGTTTGGTAATTGTGATTGCTTCTCATTCCTCATTCTTAGAAAATGTTGAAATGAAATTGATTCATTTTTAGATATCAAAATGGAAGTCCTCTCGTCCATATTTATAGTACTAAGAGTGGATTTCTTAAATAGCATGCCTCAAATCCTTAAATTGCACGAGAAAGGCTAACTACTATCAAGAAAATTGCGAGAACATAAACATTCCAAAAAGTTAAAGCCTAGACGCATCAAATACTATCATGGATGGGTGATTTTAGACACAATAATTAGCAAGGTCCAATCATTAATTGGCTCATGCATATAAGACTCTTTCGGTTGCTAGACATAAATATTCTCGACCTAGGTTCAACGTGGGGAGTAAAGTAGATGTTTTCCAATGGGAATTGAAAAAATATCAAGTGATTTCGATAAGAAAGTATATGCAAAATGTGGTTTGAAAGTAATCACTTCATCTACTTTTCAAAATCGTTATGGCAGATGCAGTTCAAATTATAAATAACTATTGCAAAAAATGCGGCAACACATTTCATTATAAATCACAACTCCAAACACATATTTTTGGGGGGTTTTTTTCCCTTTTTATATTTGTCATTCATTTCTTTAATAAAATTTTCGATAACTAATTTGTATATTAAATTACAATGAGAGGAATAAAAAGAACAATTTATTTTGAAGTATGACCATTCAATTTCGATCTTTTATCTGCAATCATTCCTCAAAACCTCTCAAGCTAATTGTTTTATTAGAAAAAATAAAACAACATTTTACCCACCACTCAGACACAAAGTAATGTAGCTAATTTTATTATTTTATTTCGATTATTAAACAAAAGTTATTCTAAAATTATTAATTATTTATTTGTTCTTTTATATGCACAATGTATAAACGTTATGAATATGTAATTTTCTTTTTAGTAAATACTGTAAAACAGTATTTTAACAAACAAGTTTTTTTTTCTTATCGTTTAATAAGCAAATTAGATTGTGATAGAAAGTAGCATAACGCAATTGAAATCTAACCTATAAAGATTACAAGAACGTTCATAACTACTCGAAATTGCTATGCTTCCGCAATCACTCTTTCCTCTCTTCTTCAACTTTTTTGGATGATTGATGCTCAGCAATTTATAGTTAATAGTTAAATATATGTAGTTTTCTCAAATTCTTAAATATTTTAAAGGTTTCATATATAAATTTATTAAATAAAATATATAATTAATTTTAGTAAAATTTTTTTGGTATGGTTAATAGTTAAAGTTGTTGGAGATTATTGGAGAAAGAAAAACTAAAAGTTTGAAATGAATGAAGAAATATATGCATATATTTCGTAATAAATTATAAAAAAATTTCATTAAGACATTTTTTAATCTTAAAAACTTAATTCTATAACGAATAAAATGGTCATATTATTAAAATTTTTATTGTTTTTTTATATAATTTCTAAATTTTTACTAATAAATAAATAAATAAATATATATATATATATTGAAAATTTACAACGACTAAAATAGTCCTATTATTAAAATTTGCATTGTTTTATTATCTTCTTTTAAATTTTTTAATGTCCAAATTTTTAGAGAGATAATTATTTAAAAATTTGTATGCTTTCTGTTGATGAAGAAATTCGACCACTTGGGATTCCGCCAAATTCGTACCAATCTTCTATTATAAAAGGGATCGACGAAACCTGCAAAACAGAACAACATTAAACACCACACCAGTGTGGCTCTTTGCCACACAGGCTCCGATCCTTAAGTCAGAATCGGAGTAGTTGAGTATAAAGTGTGGAGTGTTGTGAACATACCTTTAGGATTTGGCTTCCTTCCCTAATAGGAGTTGAATCCTGTAGGATGGATATTTTTTGAATATAGGATATTTGAATTATAAGGCCATCAAGATATCTTCCCTTTTGAATTCCTTAAAAGATTTGAATTGTAGAAAATTGGGATTTTCTCATCCATAACAATAGCCCCTACTCTCAAAGTTGAAGATTGTCAAAGTTCTGCTTTGAGAGTATTTTGTCGTTCATGGGTTGACTATTTTTGTGGAATAGCCTCGTTTTGGTCATTATTGATTGTCGTCTTAATTATGCTGACTTTCCTATCCCCCATTCTCTTTTGTTGTAGTTGGCTATCATGAAGTCTCTTAGCATTGAGAGAACTTTTCAGTTGTCGCTTTTTATGGGCTGACTGTCATAGCCCCATTTTCTTTTGTTGTAGTTGGCTGCAATTGAGTCCCTTAGTGTTGAGAGTATTTTGTTGTTATCAGTTGTCGTTTTTATGGGTTGGCTTGTTATAGTCCCCATACCCTTTTCTCGTAGTTTGCTGTAGTTAAGTCTCTTGGTTTACTCTTAGGTTTCCAACCTACTTGGCTTTTGCCAATGGTTTTACCTTTTGTTGTTGTCGGTTGTCGTTTTATGGGCTGGCTGTCATAGCCCCAATTTTCTTTGGTTGTAGTTGGCTGCAATCAAGTCTCTTAAGCACTGCTATACAGTTAGTTTTTACCATTAAATTTTGGCCTTAGAATCTAACTTTCAACGGGCCAGTAGTACTTCCTTTGAGTTTCTAACCTCTTCGACTTTTGCCCATGTTTTATATCTTAGAGTTTACTCTCGAGTTTCTCACCCATTTGGCTTTTGCCAATTGAACTCTCTTAAACAGAGTTAATTGTGCTTATAAATTACATGAAATAGCTAAAATTAGTCTATTCTAGCCCTATTTATTCAGTGAGTGTGCTTGAATTAAAAGATAAATCAATATCTCACATTACTAAGAGTTGATGTTAGCACTAAATTAAATGATCTGATTCTGAGCATTTTTGCTGCAGCTTTGATGATGCTACAACATCGGTTCCAGATTAAGACAAAAAACAAAAAGCAGCAAGCTAACAGTGAACTGGCTTCTTAGCGGAATTTACCATAGTAATTGGAGATTTTACCCAAAAGTGAGAGCTAGGTCCCTCAAGGCTCGTGTTGTTGCCCTAATATCTAAAGGGGGTATAAATGCAAACAAGAGGAGAAGCCTCCAACAAAAAAAAAAAAAAAAACCCCAAGAAACATTCCCCTTGTTCATTATGGAAGGAATCCACCCTCACTCCAAGAAAACCTCCCCAAACCGTTAGAGAAAGTCAAGAGAAGAAGAAGACTCTTCAGTGGCATTTGGGAGCTGTCTCTTCATTTTCTCATCTTTGTATTATTTTCATTCCTACATTTTGTTTGACTCTCCTTATGGCTTTGTATAGCTAACCAACTTGTGTAAGGGGGAGATGTTCTAGACTTATTTTCTGGACTGTAATCTTGCTGTTTGCTTTAATGAAAGTTTGTTTTGAGTTGAAGTTGTTTTATCACTCTATTTTCAATGTGCTTGATCACCATTTTGAAATACCTCTTTGATAATGTTTGAAAAAATGTATTAAGGAGCGAAACCCTTCATCTTGGGCTAGAGTCTACTGAGTTTAGCGTGTGGTGACTTGAGGATAAGCATCACCTAGGCTTGGTCGCAAAAATTGTGCGTATATGCTATTGATGTTTGTCTATAAATGTGAGTAGTAGAAAATCTGGGGTGTTTGGAAGAACACCTTGTCTGTTTGACCACTGCAACTACTCCATTAATGCTACAACATAGTTAGAGTGGCCCAGAAGAGTCGATCACCCTTATTTTTATACGGTCTTATTGAGTGATTGTGGATGTGTGGTACACTGGCAGACTTTACCCTTGTGTTTGATTTAAGATAATCGTTTTAAATAGTTTTTACCTCAATATATTTTAGTTATTAGTGAAAGAAAAACCTCTTGGCTTATTGCATTGTTTCCTTGAGTAAATATTGAGTGTTTAAGCATTTAGTTTCTGTGGATTCGAACTTTTATTACTTGCTGCGACGATTATGTACACTTGCACATATAAGAATTGGTAGCACAATTAGTGGACAACACCAATGACTTTTATACCCTGAGTTTAGTAGGCACCATTGGGTTTTTAATATATTTGGCTTCTGTTGGTTTTTTACTCCAAGTTAAATCAACACCCTCAGATTTCTAACCTATTTTGACTTTTGCCACATGGTTTTTTACCCGTGAGTTTCATTGATTGGTTAGGCTTGCTTGTTTTCTATTTTAATCTTGCTGTGCCTGTACGCATGCCTTTTTCAGCACCTCGAGATTCTCTTCCCTGGTTTCACTGACTGACTTTTTTCTTATCGGCCTACTCCTAGGTCTGTCCCAGTTCGAGTTCCTTGAGACCAAATTTCTTGTCTTGGTGTCCTCCTGATTGTATCTCGATCGCACGGTTTGATAAAATGCCCTTCTTCCGTCAACGGTAGTATGCCTGAGGCCGGCTTGGTCAACTGGGTTGCTCTTACTTTCGTTGGGCACGACAGACCTCTGTTGTCGTACAGCTGCTTGCCGGCCTGTCTGGCCAAGGACGTTGGCTCGAGGTTTGTCGTTTCCTCCTATCTTCAGCTTGCTCCGTGCATGACTGGTTGTCTCCCCAACTCCTTCAATTATCAGAGCTTTACCCTTTCGTGGATCTCGAACAAGCTCTGGTTGTTCCACCTCATGTTGCTCGAGTTTTTGCAGAAGCAGGGACATACTTCGGTGCATTCCCTCTACCCTCTCTTCTAAGGCGGCCATCTTGTCACCCTGTTGATCCGGACCTTCAATCGGTTTGTCTTTCAGCCCGAGAACTGGTCGGCCAGTATCCCTCTGTTCGTCATCTGATCGGATCTCGTCACCCTATTGATCTGAAACTTCAATCTGTTTGCCTTTCTGTTCGAGAACTGGTCGACTAGTATCCTTCTGTCAATCGTCTGGTCGGTCGGTATCCTTCGGCCAGAGAACTGGTCGGTCAGTCTCTCCTTCAACTGTCTCGGGCGAAGGTGTACCCCTATGAACTTTCTTCCTGTGACGGAATTCTTCATCAGAATGTTGTGGACTCTTTTCCGAACTTATGTCGACAAGTCTATAATCTCTATTCGTCCCCACAGACGGCGCCAATTGTTGATGCAGAAATTCAGCCTCTTGGGATTCCGCCAAATTCGCACCAATCTTCTATAATAAAAGAGATCGACGAAACCTGCAAAACAGAACAACATTAAAGATTGGTGTGGCTCTTGCCACACAGGCGGCTCTAGGTGAGTATAAAGTGTAGAGTGTTGTGAGCATACCTTTAGGATTTGACTTACTTCTCTATTTATAGGAGTTGAATCGATAATTTAAGATTGTGGAATTCGAATCTTCATACATCTAGGAAATCTGATTATCTGAATCGGGGGAGAATCTTGAGGCAATCAAGATATCTTCTCATTTTGAATATAGGATATCTGAATCATAAGTCATCAAGATATCTTGCCTTTTGAATTTCTTAAATAAAGGAAATTTGAATGGAGATTTTCTCATCCATAATACTTTCAATTTTGTGTAAATATGATTGGTTAAATATGTATTCCTCTCTTCAGCCAATGTTAACAACAAAAACTTATTAAAATCAAAATAAAAAATGGTAGAATTAAGGCTAAAGTTTAAAAACTAAATAGGCACAACTTCGTGACTAAATTTATAATTTAAACAAAAAATCTTTATTTTGGAGAATTTAATCGTTATCGTTTCTGAAAATTTAAATTTGAATTTACTTAAACGGTTTTTATTATCCCTCAGGAGGTTAAAACAATATTTTTTTATCTTTTAAAAATTAGAAAGATTAGAATTAAAATTAATATGTCAAAATTTAAGAGGTATGTTGAAGTGTAGAATTAAACCTTTGACTTCAAAGGAGTAGATAGCTTGACATCCTACTAATAATAGGATTTGGATTAAATATTAGTGTTTTATTACTTTAGATAAAATTTATTCTCAAGTAAGAATAACTTAAAATAAGTTAGTTAAAGTAATACTTTTAAAATATTTAGAACACATAAAAGAATTGGAAAAAGAAAAGGAAAAAAGAGCATTATTTGTGGGGCATAAAAGAATGGGCTACTCAAGTGTGAATGTGGAAGAATTGGTTTAAATTATAGGCTTCATTTTCCAAAAGCCTTGACTTGACTTGACCAAATGGGCAAAGGCCAAAGAAAAACTTCGTGGCCAAGTTTCACTTTTAGTACAATTATTCTTTCTTTTGCTTTTGTCATTAAACAAAGATAATACTTCAATCCTCAATTCCTACGTTCAGCGATATATAGATAAGTGGATCACATCAGAATTATGTAAAATTAAAATAAATATTTATCTAGAATTCAGGAACAATTCCTCTTAATCTTCAGGAGAGAAGTTTTTTCCATAAATAAAGAGAAGAATGAACTTTAACTTTTTTTTTGTTTATTAAACTTCGAAATTAAACCTAATGTAACCAAAAAGTAGTTTAGACCTGGTTTGATAATATTATTGTTTTTTACTTTTTTTATTTCTATATTTTGTTTCTAGTTTCTGGTTTTGTTATTTTTTTTTCAATAAGAAAATATAGAACTAAGTTTGATAACTATTTTTATTTTTTGTTTTTGAAAAAAGAAATAGAAATAGGGTTGATAATCATTTATTTTTTTTAGAACTATTTTTATTGTTGTGATTCTAGAAAGTTTGAAAACTTTATGTTTTAAGATTTTAAATTTAAAATTTTAAAACAAAATTACATTAAAAAAAATAAAATTTGAAAAATATATTATTTCAGGGGATAAATTCATATTATTTTTGTTAAAATAAAAAAAAATGCAAAATATATTATGTGGTAAATTATATAGGATTGAAAATTAATAATGGTACAAAATTCATAACATTATATATGTTAATAAATTAATTAATAATATTTTATATTCAACCAAATATACAATTTGTTACTACCATAAATATATTAAACCCAAACTTGCAGAGTTTTTGAAATTGAGATTTAATTTCTAAATCTGTTAACAGAATTCGAAAACACTCAAAATACTAATTCCCTTTTTTTTTGATTTATATTTTGAGATCACTAGATAAACTTACCATTTTTTCTCTTAAATTTAATAATTAAATTGAGAAACTACTAAGACCCTATTTGGTATCGTAAATTTTGATTGATTTCAAAATTATGATCGATTTCAAATGAATTCCATTATTTGACGGTGCATGATTTTGACTGATTTGAAATGTAAAAAATTTTTTAGATCAAAATGGTCGGATTGGGAAGGATTCCATAGAATTTTAAAATAAATTACAAATTTAACCTTGTCATATTTTAATTTTTAAATAATAAATTTAGATTAAAAATCTAAATTAGAAAAAATTTTATTTTCTTACTCATTTCCCGCCAACATCCAAACAAAGAAATTTAATTTATTTCGTTTCAAATCTTCCTTATTCCAAACAAGATAAGGAATTTAAAATCATTTATTAGATTTTAAATAACGGAATTTAAAATCATTTCTTAAACTTTCTTGATGTTAACAGAGGTAATCGAAAAGAAAAAATTATTAGTTTAATCTCCATTTATTTTGATGCCTGTACTTTCAAACAATTTTAGTTTATTTTAGTTTACTTTTAAAATATTCATTGGTCTTTGCACTTTTCAAAGAGTGACTATTTTGGTCCATTAATTTTATTTTTAATCTCATTATATCAAAAGATATATTTTTAAAAAAATTATAAATATTATTTTATATTAAAAGATTTATGTTATGCTTAAAATTTGTGTTAAAATTTTATAAAAGGCAACGTGATAACTATTTTTAAAAGTACAACATCCAAAATAACATTTTCAAATTAGAAAGATTAAAATATCTAAAATTAAAAGTCTAAAAATCAAAATAACAAAATTATCACAAGGGGAGATAAAAGGAATCAAAATAGTATTTAAATCCATACGAAAAAAAAAAAAAAAGTTAGGAGAGATTGTGATCACGTAGAGAGTGGTCCACGATAAGGAAACGGAAAAGGGTAATCTAATTTTAGAGTTATGGTTTATGGCGGCAATGGTCGCTTCCTCTGCCTTCCTTGTCCATTCACATTCCCCATATTAGAGACTGAGCTTACAGTTGACTGTTGTCTCTCTCTTTTTTCTCTGTTCTTTGATGTCCCTTCTACACTCTCAAGCCCATCAATTTGTACCTGTTGGAGCATGAATTCCCTTCAAGATTAAGTTTTTGCATCTGGGTTCATCAGTTTGTACTTTTACTTTTTCTATTTTCTCCATCACCAAGTGCTGTTGTTATGCTTATTGAATGATCTCTTATATTTCTCTTTTTTGATTCTTTTTAGTTGGGGTTTGATCTCTGTGCACACCACTCAATTTTGGAACTCAATCATCCAAAGTTTTTCTCTGGGTTAGTTCCTCTACCTTCTCTCTTTCTCTTCATTTTCTTGGACATAATTTTGTTTGATGGATTTCTGTTGACTGAATTTTTCTTGGCCTGTATCAAAACTGAATTTCTTTGTGCATTTTATTCTAATGTAAGACTTGTGTTGGTGTTTATTTCTTTGTAGGGCATACAAATTTACCATTGCAAGTGCCATAGCCATACTTGGTTCTTTGGGATCTTATGGGAAAAACAGTTCATATTAGTGGATTTCCTGCAGGCGTCACGGCAGATGCCGTTAGGAGTTATTTGGAGGGTCGTACGGGTGTTGGAACTGTCTATGCTCTTAAGATTAGAGAACCCAAAAAGGGGGGAAGTAGATTATATGCTTTTGTTCAATTCACTGGCTCTAGAGAAGCTGAGTTGATCATTTCATTGGCTAATCAACGGATTCAACGCCTGTGGTATGGAACTTCGTATCTCAAGGCTCGAGAAGCGGATGTTGATATTATACCGAAGCCTAGGACGTACATGCATACCTTGGAAGATTTGACATTGTGCTTTGGTTGTCAGGTCTCAAGTGAAAAGTTTTGTGTCCTGTGGGAAGGAAGGGATGTTTTGGTGACTTTTGGATTTGGAATGCGAAAAATGAACTTTCGTTTGTCTCATAACTTTGTAGAGTACAGGTTCGAGCTTTCGTACGAGAACATTTGGCGGATAGAACTCCATCATTCGCGGCATCAGTCCATGAAGTATCTTGTGATCCAGGTTCTGGGGTCAAATTCCTTTCCAAAGTTGTCTCATGCTATGCTAATGTTGAAAAGTATTATTATCCTCTCTTAAAGTTGAAAAATGTTGCTACTTCTGTTTAAGCATTGTTTCAACTATTACATTAGCAATTTGAACATCATAACGTTTTATCCTCGTTGAAAAAGTGTTGCTATCCCTCTTAATTGTTGGAATAAGAGTACTTTATTGAATGATATTTAGGTTGATGGAACGACCAGGCAGCGCATCTAGATTTATTCACTTGCATATTATTTGCCATCTTCCAAGATATTACTGTATGACTCTAGATTTCCCCACTTGCATTCTAATTGTCATTGTTCATTTACATTCTTGAATGTTGAATTCTCTTGGTTATTCATGAACTAATGTGGAAGGTTTGTATCAATATATATGAAAACCAAACTGTTTGTTCACAATGACATTTGATGGCCTTTTGATGAATGACATGTATGCTGAAAATTTTGTTTCATTGCTTGAATTTGATGTCTGCAGTTCATCAAATAATTGTTATGTGTTTTTTTTTCTCAGTTATATGGAGCTCCTTGGATATATAAAAAAGTTGAATCTTCTAGTGGGAGTAGACAGGTTTTTGACGATCCTCTTTTGAACTACTTCAAAGAAGTACCTGATGATCAATGGGTTAGAAGTACTGATTTTACTCCATCATCCTGTATAGGACAATCTTCTTCGTTATGTTTGAAGCTACATAACTGTCGTGAACTTCCAAATTTTGGACAGAATTTTGCTTATTACAAAGAAACTGAAGATGAATTTCGGTTGGTTGATGGAGGCAACGGTTTTTCGTGCTCTGCAGATCTTGTTCCCATGGTTGATTCTCGTCCTGATATTTTTCTGCCATATAAGATTATCTTTAAAATAAACGCATTGGTTCAACATGGTTGCATTTCAGGGCCAGCACTTGATACTAGTTTCTATCATTTGGTCGATCCGCGTAGAATAAAGATTGAATTTGTAGAACATGCCTTGGATAGACTATTCCATTTAAAGGAATGCGAGTATAAGCCATATAGTTGGCTTACTGAGCAGTACAAGAAGTATTTAAGGCGTCCTCCAAATTCTCCTGCCATATCTTTGGATGCTGGATTGGTATATGTTCGCAGGGTCCAAATAACACCTTGTAAGGTGTACTTTTGTGGTCCTGAAGTCAATGTCTCGAATCGGGTGTTGCGCCACTTTTCTCGAGATATCGATAATTTTCTTCGGGTATCTTTTGTCGATGAGGAGTGGGATAAAATGCGTTCGATAGATTTGTTGCCACGAACATCTTCTACGATTAAGGATCGTAAAACTGAAATCTACAAGAGAATTCTCTCTGTTCTTAAAAATGGCATAGTCATTGGTGGTAAAATGTTTAAGTTTCTTGCATTCTCATCAAGTCAGTTAAGAGATAATTCTTTGTGGATGTTTGCTACCAGACCTGGCCTCGACGCAGAAGATATTCGAGCGTGGATGGGAGATTTTAGACAGATCAAGAATCCAGCAAAGTATGCTGCTAGATTGGGCCAATCATTTGGCTCATCGACCGAGACACTTTCGGTTGCTAGACATGAAAGGGAAATTATTCCTGACATAGAGGTTCAACATGGGGAAGTAAAGTATGTGTTTTCTGATGGAATTGGAAAGATATCAAGCGATTTTGCCAAAAAAGTATCTGCAAAATGTGGTTTGAAAGCATTCACCCCATCTGCTTTTCAGATTCGTTATGGCGGTTATAAGGGTGTTGTTGCTGTTGATCCATACTCATCAAAAAAATTATCTTTGAGGAAGAGCATGTGCAAATTTGAATCAGACAACACGAAACTTGACGTTTTAGGATATAGCAAATATCAACCGTGCTTCCTTAATCGTCAATTGATTACTCTTTTGTCTACTCTAGGTGTTAGAGATGAAGTTTTTGAGAAAAAGCAACGCGAAGCTGTTGAACAATTGGACGCGATATTAACTGATCCTTTGAAGGCACAAGAAGCTTTAGAGTTGATGGCTCCGGGAGAGAATACTAATGTCCTTAAGGAAATGCTCAAATGTGGCTATAAGCCTAATGTTGAGCCTTATCTATCAATGATGTTACAGGCTTTTCGGGCATCAAAGTTGCTAGATTTACGCACCAAATCAAGAATGTTTATTCCAAATGGGAGAGCGATGATGGGATGTCTTGACGAGACTGGGAGCTTGGAATATGGACAAGTATTTGTGCAAGTCTCAGGCGCTAAGCAAAGCATTTTATCCGTCACGACCTCCGCATTCAATATAAGTAGTTCGGAACAGCGTGTCGCCATCGAGGGAAATGTAGTTGTTGCAAAAAATCCGTGCCTGCACCCTGGGGACGTTCGTGTATTAAAGGCTGTGAATGTGCCTCGGTTGTATCATATGGTTGATTGTGTAGTTTTTCCACAAAAAGGATCAAGGTTAGCATATTCATCTATACTAGTTCTTTTTTTATTTGAAAAATAACATCTGTTTTCAACTTTAAATGCAAGAAAAACTAATTTTTTGGCATAGTTTTGTTACAAAGATTTTCCTTGCCAATATACATTACTAACCAGATGTTGCATTGTTAATCTAGACCTCATCCGAATGAATGCTCGGGTAGTGATTTGGATGGGGATATATACTTTGTCTGTTGGGACACTGAGCTGATCCCGCCTCGACAAATTCCACCGATGGATTATACTCCTGCACCACCTACTCAGTTGGATCGCGACGTCACAATCGAGGTATTTCCTCTCAAACCAATGGCATGTTTCGATAACTTGAAAACCCATTCGGATTTCCTTTTCTTTTTTCAGTGTTTTACCTCAATGCCTACTGTAAAGAATATATTCACTTTGTAAACCATTATGATTTTGGTCCAGTAGTCAATAAGAGCAAATGTTTATAGTAAAGTCTTAGTAGAGGGAATGAGTTCAAATCATGGTAGCCACCTACATCGGATTAAATATCTCACTAGTTACTTTGGCAACCAAATGTAGTAGTTCAGGCAGTTGTCCCGTGAGAATAGTCGAGATGTATGCATCGAGATGTATGCAAACTGTCCCAGACACTCACGGATATAAAAAAAAGAAAGAATATATTCACTTTGTACGTTATGTCTGACTAGAAGAGAAACCACTCATGTTTGTATGTTGTTTGTCCTAATTTGAAACTCTGCTCCTCTTTAACACCAGGATGTGCAAGAATATTTTGTGAACTACATGGTTAACGACAGTCTTGGCATCATTGCCAATGCCCACACTGCCTTTGCTGATAAAGAGCTCTTTAAAGCAAGAAGTTCTCCTTGTATAAACCTTGCAAAGCTCTTTTCCATTGCTGTGGACTTCCCAAAAACTGGAGTACCAGCTATAATACCTCCCGAGTTATATGTCAAAGAGTTTCCCGACTTCATGGAGAAGCCCGACAAACCCTCCTACGAATCGAAGAATGTGATCGGAAAGCTTTTTCGGGCAGTGAAAGACATTGCACCAACAACAAGCCATATCAGTTTGTTTACTCGAGAGGTAGCAAGGCAGTGTTACGATTCTGATATGGAAATTGAAGGCTATGAAGATTACGTCGATGATGCCATCTATCATAAAAACAATTATGATTATAAGTTGGGGAATTTGCTCGATTATTACGGGATCAAGTCTGAGGCTGAGATCCTTAGTGGAAATATAATGACTATGTCCAAGTCTTTCACCAAAAAAAGAGATGCAGAAGCCATCAACTTGGCTATCAGGTCTCTGAGAAAGGAGGCTAGGACTTGGTTCAATGAGAGAGAAAGCGGTCCCGATTCAGATTCAGTTTCGGGCTTGGATGATTTATTTGCCAAAGCTTCAGCCTGGTACCATGTCACTTATCATCCGAGTTATTGGGGAAGCTATAATGAGGATATGAACCGTGATCATTATCTGAGCTTTCCATGGTGTGTTTATGACAAGCTGATGCAGATTAAGGAGAATAATGTGAGGAGAAAACAGAGAGCTTCGAGACTAGCAGCTCTTGACAGCAGATTCAGGAATGCATTGAATCTTGGACATTGAAGAACTATATTTTTAACATCTTATTTCTAGTTTTTGTGAATATTCTTGTTCCTGTTCTTTGAAGTTTGAAGTGCTGAACTAAGTTCCGAAATGTGATTACTTCTAGTTTTGGCTCCTGTTTGCAGCAAGTGAGATGTAAATATTGCTGATATGAGAGCTTGTTAGTTATTAGGAAATGAACATGCTTGTGAATCTGGGAAAGGATTGTTGCTATTTTGTTCTTACACATTTCTGATAAGGTGTAGAATGTGTATGAGTTTTTTGTGGTCGATGTAGTTTCAACTTTTGTCGGTTGGTAAATTATTTATCATTATCTTTGTCATAGCTTTGTGTTTAAGGGATTCTTCAGTTTTTGTCTACGAAGTTTGTGTTAGAATTTTGTAAACATGGACTAAATTGATCCATTTCCAAAAGAAACCAAAATAGAGAGTTAAAAGTACGTAGACTAAATGAGATTTAAACATTAATATTTTATATATGTCCGATAAATTCAATGATAAAAACTTGTATTACTAAAAAAAATTATGCTACACTTTTGACTCGAGGAATCATTCCTCGGTTACATAAAACTTTCTCCTTTTTTTTCTCTAGCTTATGAAATATTTTTAACAATAATTCATTGTACAGTGATTATAAAATACTAGTAAAATTAACAATATCTAAAAAAATTCAAAGCTAAAATTAATTAAATTATACTTAAAATCAACTGTGTGTGTGTGTATATAAAATTCAATTATCTTAGGCCCATAAAAGAAAAACCTGGTCTTAGGCCCTATATTATCAATCTGTTTAAAGGGGTAGAAAGTTCAAAATTACAATTATAACAATCCTTGTAGCTCAGGAATAATTTGGTAAATTCAACACTATTCTATAGTTACATATTTATAGAAATATTATTCTATAGTTGCATACCCCAAAATGAGTTAATGCAATATGACAATGAAAACTCAACGTACACATAACATAAAAAAAAAAAAAAACATAGTGGTTTGAGAATCTTCCTATGTCTCACTTCACAAAGAAGCAAAGCTCATTAACAAAGGGATAAAATCAAGCACTTATAAAATAATATGTTATGTTCTTGTCACACATGAAGGAGACGTATAAAAACAAAAGTTGAAAGTAGTAGGTGTCCCATAAAGAGGAAGAAAGGGAAAGATGGAGATGAAGCACATGGTGTCCCGATGAGTTTTGAAATTGCTACGAGGGTGAATCAACATTTCTATAATATTGTAAAAAATAAAATATAAAAGAAATCAATATAATAACACTAATATAAACATAATGTTAATATTAATAATTTTTAACCTACTTTGAAAAGTTTATTTGTTAATTTAAATATTTACTACGGATTTTTTATATTTTTAATTTTTCAACAACATCAACATTCTATCGATTTTAATATTTTCAAGACATTAACATCTCAATGGACAAAGTTATTAGATATTGATATTTTCATAGGCTTGATCTATCGTATATTTTTGCTCTCTTCTAGAGCTGATTTTGGAGGGGTTAAAAGTTATTAGAGAAAAGTTTTAACTCTTTTGGATCGTTTGGTTTAAGGTTTGATATCCTTGGAAATAAGATGGTTGAGAATAAGATATTTGAAAATAAAATAGGTGAAAATCAAAGATAGCTGAGTTCGATTATATACGAGAATGTTATCAGAATTTCATAGGAATAAATTATTAATTGCTATTAGTTAATTATAGAGCATTATCGTTAATCAAAATTAACTTCCGACAATTAATTTACCTGAGTTAATTTTAAATAATTATGACATGTTTCAGAGTGATTTTAGCATGACCAATGTTAAAATCATTACCATTTTAAAATGACATGTTTGACAACAATTCTAAGTGGTTTTGGAAAAATCCAAAATTAGTTTAAGTGATTTTTGGTAAAAAGAAAGTTTTTAAAATAGTTATTGTGCCATTTTTTTTTTCATTTCTAATTTTTTTGATCTTTAATTTGGTTTATTCTCTCTGATTTTTTTTCTCTAAAATTTTTATAATATCTCTCTAAATTTTATAGTTTCATCTATTTTCTAAATTTATTTGTATGTTTAAAATGTTTGTCTCTCAATCTTTAAAATTTCTCTCATTTTTTTTTCCTTTCTAAATTTTCTCTCTCTAAATTTTTTTTGTCAAATGGGCTCTTCAAACATCAAATATCGGTCCTCATTCAACATCACTTTTAATTATATAAAAATTATTTGGAAAAATATATCACCAAACGTTAAAATAACTATATAAAAATCAATTTCACAAAACGGGTTATCACTTTTAAGTTTAGGTTTCCTATTTCTTTTCTCCCTTGCTCCATCTCATCTACTTCCATCTCATATCTTTACCATCATCAAACGTCTCTCTCAATCTCGTCTCTCAATATACGCCCTTCGACGTTTGTCATAGGCTGTCACTTATCATCCGTTACTACAGGTCGTAGGTCATCGTATATATTCGCTCGTCGCTGCAAGTCGCAGGTTCGCTTGTCACTGCAGGTCGTAAGGTCATTGTCCGTCGCCACAGATCGAATGTCATCATAGGTCGTTTCCAATCGGGTGATCCAACCCAATCCAACTAAAAATTATTGGGTTGGGTTGGATTAAGTTGGCCATTAGCTTTGGTTCCATCCGGTACATGAACTGATCAAACTCAAATTTTTGGATTGGTTAAAAATACCACCATAACTCAAACCGACTAACACCCTACTAACCAGAATGAATATACTCTTGGCTAACAACAAGAACAGACAAAGAATTAATTAAATTCAATATTCCATGATCCACCTTAGTGCCTAATTTGTGAGAAGCTATTATCTTCCTTAAAAAAATAATAACAACTTCAAGATTTGGTCATATCTATGCATAACTCCTATCATAAACCATCAATTTATATGGTTATTTTATGTTTTTCTTGATTTTGACCTCTTGGAAACAAAAATATATTTTCTCCATAATTATTTGTCAAAGGGGAGTTATTTTATAGGATATTATATTAAATGACATAAAATAAATTTATATTTACTACAATAATTTTTAGATTTGTCGACGAAATAAATCGTCGTCAATATTGTCGCTATAGCCCCGTCGCGAAACGTCTTTGGCGACTAACTATGATTTTTGTCACCGAAGATCTATGATGAAATTTCGTCGCCAAAGGTTCAATTTTGTCTAAAATCTTCATACACATCTTTTTTCTTTTTCTTTCTCTTTTCTCTATTATAATCTTGTTACCTAAATATTTCTTCAAATTTAAATGAAACACCATAAACACGTATTCAAAATTATCATATAAACTTAGATTTATATTAAACAAAAAGTGATTTTACCATAGTCTAATACAGGTCAAACACAATATAAGCTAAATTTCGATTAGAACATAAATCTAAACTTATTATAGAAAGTCCATCTTCTTTTGGCTTTATATAACCTTCTCTAATTTTCAAAGCTTCCGAGAGAACAATCAAAATAACCTGAAACAATAAAGGAAAAATAAACCGATGTGAACAAAGAGTTGTATATATTTTAACTCATTCCACTACATTTTAGCTAAACAAACTTAACTTTAAACAATGTTAAAAAAAAAAACATAACTTTAAACAAGCTAGCAGTAAAGTAAATAAAAAATTAACTTGAAGCGTAATGCATAGGTAATGCCAAAGAATCCAAAATGATCTCAAAACACACAACTTCCCCCCAATTGAACTTAAACAACCTAAATTGTTATTTTAGTGGCAAAAATACGATACAATGTCACAAACTCACCCCTTTTAATGTAGCCATAAAAATTTCAAATTAGATGGAACTTTTGGCGACGAATAGAAATTCTGTTGCCATAGGGTACTTTCGGCGACGACAGAATTACATTTCATTGCTAAAAGTACCCTACGACGAAATTTCAATGCGTCGACAAAAGTTCCGTCACCAAAAAATAAAATTCTTTATAAATTTATAAAGCCAAAACGAGCATAGCTATTAATATATATCCCCAACCTCCACATGTTGTACTAAAAAAAGTATTTATAAAAATATTGTTGGGAAGAGAGGAAAATAAGTAATATTTTTACTATTACTTACATTTTAAAGTTTTAATGAAAACGTTTTATTTATGTTTTAATAGTTTATATAAACATTACTGAATTAATTATTTAACATTATAATTAATTAAATTATTTTATTTTGTAATGTTTTAATTAATTAATTCAGGTAAAAGTTTTTTTTTTTTCAGGTTTACCTTTTAAAACCAAATCGAGTCTTATTCTTTTAAGAGATAGAAGATGAAAAACTTTGGACACAATTTCATGAGTATGTTTTTTCGATTCTATTTGGCTCCGACAAGTGCATGCTTGAGTTTGAAGTTGTGTTAACCTTAGGGAGTAATGGGTGCATATACGATTTACCACCGTAGTCGTGTCGAAATTTCTTTCAAGGTAGTGGTTCATCCACGACACAACAATCATTTTGATCTAAATTCTTACTTCTATTCCAATAAATATCATTACTTTTTGTTTTTTTAAAATGTATAAATACATATTCTTTTTGTGCTATTTTTGTACGTAATTCCATCTTTTTCATTTACTCTCATCATCGTTGTTAATCAAATTTGAACAAGAATCTTGCCCGATCTTCCCCTATCTAGCAAATACGAGACTTTTATTGTAGTCTCAACAAAAATCCATTCAATACTTTTTAAAATTACATACACTAAATAGATACCCGACAAGCACACTATACTTTTAATTTAACCTTGTAAGTCACAAATTAAATATTCCAAAGACTAACTGATATGAACCAAGATGCTTTAGCCTTGCCACTAGGACCAATCACTCGTTCAAGGGCCAAACAGTTGCCGCTAGCATTTGATTCTTACATTCAAAGAGTAGTGAGCTCCACTAATGGACATCAAGAGGATAAAGATGAGAAAAAACTTTATTCATTGTGCCAAATGAAGGTACGAGAAGAAGATGAAGAAACTTTGTATTAGCAAAGTTAATTATTTTTAAAATTGTTGTTTATCTTATTTTAGGCCTTTATATTTTTAGCCAATGATGTGACATTGAATTTATTAATTTTAGGTGTTTTTTAAAATTAACTATGTCACTTTATTCGGTGTAGTATAGTCTTTTAGCCTCCTTTTGAGATTAGGGATTTAATCTTGTGAACAAAAGAATCAGGGATAGAATGATCATTTTGGGGTGTTTTAGCGTGATGACTAAGGGTTGATCAACTTTGCAATTATTGATCTAGGTTGCAAGCCTGAAATATTCAAGCTAGGTTTGATCAATCTGTTTGATCAATCTTCTTGTGGAGTATTTAAG